ATGCCATTCTCATAACCCTTGAAGGAGCTGCTGAGATCCGTGCCACCAGAGACAACAAGTTGCTGCTCTTCCTTCTCCTCGTGGGGAGTAGGCACCGCATCGGCATGAGGCAAGTGGCTGACCTCAACCTCTCCAGCATCAACTGCATCAAAAAACTCATCCTCACCATCCGACTCGGAGTCAGACAGCTCAAGCGAATCCAGAACCGTCTTCTTCCTTGTCAAAGTCCTCTCGGGCGCTGGCGGCGCTGCGATATTCGTGTCGTCGGCGCCGACAGCAGCCTCAACAGTCGAGGTGCCATCCACCTTTCTGTCACCCCCGAGATCCTGGCTGGGGGCCGTTGGCTGCTCGTTCATAACTTCGCGCAGCGCACGCTTGGCCGCCTTGCGCTTCTGCTCGGCCTGGTCGACACGCTCCTCAAGAATCTCTTGCTCCTTGGCAACCTTGGCCATGCTCTCCTCCCACATGCGGCGCATGTCGATTTCGCGGTCCAGTCGGTACTGCCAGTAGGCATCGCGATCCTTGGAAATCCGCATCAGGTCTCCGATAAGTCCCGTCAGACTCCTGACAGCTGCGTCGTAGGTTGTGAGAGCTTGAGTGACCTTTGCGTCAGAGACGACCGTGTTCGGGTTCTTGGAGGCCTCGGATAGCATCGCAGCGTTGACAGCAGAAATGGTGTCGAGTTGTAGCTTGGCCGACTGAGCTGTGATGCTGAAAGCGTCCTTGCTGACAGAGGGCTCTTCACGACTACTGACATCCTCAAAGTCGTCATCATCATCGTCATCGTCTGGTCCGTGATGCCCTCTCGTTACACGGGACTGGCCCGCATCTGTCGCGGCATCGGCGAAGTCATCGTCGTTGCTAGCGACAGTGCTTGCGCCAGCAAAGTCGCTTCTGGGGACGGACATCTTGCTGTGCGACATAGTCCTGGGGATCTGAACACTGCTTCTTCCATCGGCCACGCTGGCGCTCTCGCTCTGAGCCTCGTTGATGGACAGCTCTGGCGACTTTCCAGACTGCTCAGCCTTTGCCTGCCTCAGAAGCTCGGCGCCGCGAGCGCGCTGGCGTTCTTCTTCCTTTGCCTGATCCTTTGTCCACTGAATAGAGTTGTTGAGAGCCCAGAACCAGCGCTTCGCCTCGACCTCGTGGTTGGCCTTGAGGGTGTACTTGACAGAGGACTTGCCGATAATCTCGAACTTTGTCTTTTCGTCGGCGCTCATGTGCAGCTTGGCAATGCGCGTGTTGATGGCGCCACGGCAAGCGGAGCCGGCATCGTCCTGATGCTTGTAGTAGCTCAGAACGCCGTCCTCGAGAACGAACCATCGGAGCTGGTATCCCTTGCGGTAGTTGGTCCACTTCTTCAGGTAGCCCTTCATCTCTCTTGCCTCCTTTCCGGCCACAGGATCGGCAGAGGCCGCAGCCCCAGCGCCCTGCGAAGCCGCCTGGCCGAGAACAGCTTTCTCCTGGATGCCTCTCTGAGCCGCGACGGCAGCGGGGGATCGCTTAAGCATGGCGCGTGTGGTATCGTCCTTTGTCACGTCCTGCGGGAGCTTGCCCTTGCGGTCTCGACGGAAGGGGTCGGCTCCGTGGAGCAGGAGGACCTGGATGAGCTGGGTATTCTTCTTGCGGGCGGCCTCGTGGAGAAGGTTTCCGCCGGCCTGGAGGGTCGTTGGTTCGGTAACGAATTCGGTGCTGTTGATGTCGAGAATCTGCTTGAGACGTGACTCCTCCAAGACAGTCTCCAAGGCCTTGTAGTCGTTCTGCGCAATCAAGCCCTGGATCTGTCTGACCTTGTTCTCGGCGAAAATGGACCGCGACAGCTGAAGGAGCTGGAAAATGTCGGGGTTTCGAGCGACGTCGATGGGCAGTCGGCCCTGGTAGTTGGCGACGGCATCGTTGATTTCTTTCTGGTCGAGCAAGAGCTTGACGACCTGGGTTCGACCCTGGACGGCAGCTACGTGTAGCGGGGTATTGCCATCCTTGTCTCTCGCGTTGATATCGATGGTTCCAGCGCCGTCAGACAGGACGTACTCGACAACGGGGTACTCGGCGCATTGGATCGCAAGGTGAAGTACGGTGGTGTCGTCGAGACCGGTGCCGCTGAGGGTGTTGATGGAGGAGATGCTCGTGCGGGGGCCGCCCTCGGCGGTATCCCTGATGGCCTTGGAAATGGAGGCAGTGTCGCCGCTTCGCAGGGCCTCGACGATGCGGAACTTGCGAACAGACTGCTCGAGGGAGACGCCCTTTTCGCTACCTGCGACGCTCATCTTGGAAGCGGATGTGGATGCGGTTGCGGAGGGCGGGCTGTTGTGGGAAGGGGTTCGGCCCATGGAAGGGGAGATGGAGAGCCTGTTGGCCGTGTTGCCGCGGGGGACGTTTTGAGCCATGGAGATGTTTGTCGCGGAAGCCGCTGTAGAAGGTGGCGACGTCAGCGGCGCTCCGTCATCCGTTGTGGATGGATCTTCTTCGCTGCGGGAGTGGTTTCGTCGGAGGAGTGAGAGGGCAGCGGCCGACTTTGACCGCTTGTGGGTGCTGGAGAATCAGGAGAGGGTTAGCTTTGCTGCCGCCAAGGTCGGGATGCGGAAGGTGCTGGTGCTGGTGCTGGTGCTGGTGCTGCTGGTGCTGCTGGTGCTGTCGCTTGCTGCTGCAGGCGGCCTGGGAAAGTGTGTGGGCAGGCGCCTGGAGCTCTGCACCGATGACAGTGTAATGGGAATGGGAGGATGATGACAGGAGGGAAGGGAGATTGTGTGCATAGCAGTTGAAATGCCACAGGCGTGGAGAAGACGGGAGCAGGTTGAGGTGGATCATCACGTACCTATCGCCAGCGTCCGACATGCTTGCAGAGCAGTGAGGAAGCTCGGCTTCACTCACACACACACACACACAGAGAGCTGGAGAGCAACTGTATCCGTAAAAGGATGCTATTATGGACACCTCTGGAACGCGGGCCAGCCAAGGTTGGTTTCCCCACTTCCTCGTAAGATAGTCTGAGTTTATACTACGTATGAGCGTGTCCTTGATCCCGTACTCCGTGTCGTGGGGAGGTAATGTAAGGTAAAGAATGGAGCAGCTGGAGGTCAAGCACAAGGGACGGGCTGGTTATCCGTAGGCTGTATTCGTCGTACTCCGGAGCCCCCCCAAAAAAAACCCAAAAAAAAAGATGGGTAAAGAAAAGGTAAGGCAGTTTATAGCTTATGCTCGCAGGAATACTGGGTACTCGGACCTGCTGATAGGTCGGCGGGGGGGTTTGGATGAGGAGGAGAATTGGTGGAGGATGCTGAATGAGGGACGTGGACGTCGGTTCGGTTGGGGGGAATGTGAGACGCTTCGGTCGGCGACCACAGACAATGGTGGGGTGAGTTGAATAATGCGTACGGATAGAGCTGTGGATGCTGGCTGTAATGAATATCCGATGATAGAGATAGATAGGTATCGAGGTGAGTGAGCGGCGCAGGTTGGAACCAATTACGCACGAATTATCCCACGAAAGAGAAGAATCCAACGTTGGAAGCCGCTGTCGTTCGTGAAGGATGACGGTGTTGTTGCTGCTGCCAAGTTTCCTGCAAGTCGCACGAGAACGAAAGCGAGCTGAGGATGCAGTGTAGTGTAAGGTAGTGTAGAAGCAAGGTGGGATGGTTGGTTGGTTGGTTGGTTGGTTGGACGGATGGATGGGTAGATAGATGGAGGAGCTGGCTGATACGCCTCTCTTTCTTTCTTCTCGACTGTTCGTCCACGGGTACGGATATCTCCATCTCCCCTCGTGCCGAGTCTATCTGCGCCTTAATTACATAAGGTTACCACCTCAGCTCAGGTTGTAATAAAGAACCCAAGCAACCAAGGTCCCGACGCTATTCCAGCATAGCCCCATTGATGAACACGATAGAACCTCGACGACTGTCCAGAAAGGCGCCTAGTGTGATTTTGTGCAACAAGGTCATCGCAAATCCAACCCTTGGCCTGCTGTGGAGCGCCCCTCATTTTGCTCCCCCCCTCCCCCCTCCCCTCTCCCCTCTCAGGCTCTCTCTCCCTCCCTTTCCAGGTTCCCTGCAGCAATCCAGAAATTCAGAAATGACGTTCCCGTCCTTGGAGATGGGGGGTCAAGGGATGACGAAACCACTCCGGGCTCCATCCCATCCGTGAACCCCAGCCAATCATATTATCATATCCTACATGGCGAGTCTTCCATGGAAACGGACTTAATTAGGCGACACACCCTAATACCCTTTTAATGCCACCCGATGATAACACCCCTTTTGGTCCCTTTTTGGGGGGGGGGGGGGGGGGGGGGACACGGTGGGATGCAGAGGGGTAATTTGTATCCGCAAGGTAAATGCTAAGGTTACCAAGGTAAAAAAAAAATAATTCCGTGTATCTTGTTTTGCCTTGCCTTACGAATAGGCACCTTACTTTACCATAAACAGGCAAAGGTCGCCGGGTGCCTGTGGCGCCCGTTGTTTGAGCCACACACAAGAGCTGAAGAAACTACCTTAGTCGCACTCCGTAAACCAACCGCATCAGGGACTGATTGACCATGATCGCTCCTTACTACGATGTTTCCTGGAAACGGCGCGCAATCTCTGCCGGGCGGCCCTTTGGAACCGGGCCGGCATCAGTCAGCAAGCTATTTGGATGGTCTTGCTCCCGAGATCGGTTCGTTCAGCGCCCGGGCACGCTTATTCGGCCGAACGACAGAGAACCTTGGCGGCAAAAGCGCATGGGCGACTCCCAAAGTCAAACATCAGGTTGTTCAAGGAACAATAATACGTTTCCAGCAACGGGCTGCTTGCATTGCTTGCATATACATACATCACGTTTTCTCAACTATATGCTCTGGTATCCAATGCGCCAAGTGCCCTTCCACGAGGCTCTGTACACCAAGGCTTGCTTTTACATGCCCCGAGTGCAGTACCATATACAAAGGAAATACTAGTCATGTTTATACATCTCGTGAACAGAATCAAAGAAATAAATGCCATATCCCGTGTTGACCAATCATCAATCTCTCACACACTTCATAGAAGAAGAGCAACGGCAAGGGCGGCGAAGCCACCGACTCCGAAAGCCCCAATCTTGGCAGCCCCAGCCTGTACAGGCTTGCTGGGGACGGCAGCAGCCGTTGTGTAGCTGGGGAACCCGCCCGTGGAGGTGGGCTTGTAGTTGGAGCCGGTACCCGCGAGTGTGGAGTTGTATTTGCCAATCGTGACAGGGACCGTCAGGGTCTTGTAGATGAAAGTCGTCGAATCGTCCTCCTTGCCAGGGACAACGGGGGTTGCGGTAGGCTTGGGGGGAACAATGTCGCCAGAAGGCTTGCTGCCACCCTGGCTACCCGTAGGCCTAGGAGGCTGAGGCACGTCGCCCGAGGGCTTGCTCTCTCCTTGGCTACCGGAGGGCTTGGGAGCATCCCCAGTAGGCTTGGGAGGCTGGGGAATATCGCCAGAGGGCTTGTTTCCTCCTTGACCGCCAGTAGGCTTGGGAACATCGCCGGTAGGCTTAGGAGGCTGAGGAACGTCGCCGGAAGGCTTGGGAGGGTTGGGAACGTCGCCTGAAGGCTTAGTGCTACCGGGAGTCGTCTCAGTGTACGGGCAGACGGTGGTGTAGGCAGGGACGACCTTAGTCGTGACTTGGCCGACAGGGCAGTTGGGCACATCAGGAGCGCAGGATGTGATGGTGTAGGTATTGGTAGTGTAGACTGTGCTGGTGACCCATTGAGGGGGAGGGCTGATCGTGGGTACGGCAACGTCGTCCGCCGTTGCCGTGACGGGGCAGACAGTGGTATACCACGGGATGGTCTCGGTCACAACCGCGCCCTTAGTGCAGGGCACATCGGGCTTGCAAGAAGTGACGGTGGTGATCTTGGTGGTGAAAACCGTGCTCGTGGTCAGCTGCTCGGGGGCACTGAGTGTGTTCTTGGCGGACTCGATAGCTGATTTGCTGCCGCTGGGCTTGTCTGAGATGGAAACCGTCAAGGAGTTCTGGGCGGGCCCGGTAGCAGAACCAGTGGCAGGGCCAGTGGCCTTGTCGGTGATGCTTCCCGAGGCAGTCTTGGTTGCATTTGCTGAGCCAGTGGCAGTGGCAGTGGCAGTATGGGAGTTGCCCATCGTGGTGGTGGGGAAGTCCTCGTCGTCCTCGTCGCAAGTGTCGGAGACAGTAGCAGACTTGGTCGCCGAAGCGCTAGCAGTGGCAGTGGCGTTGGCGCTCAAGGATGTGATGATGCGAGACGAAGCAGATCCGGTGGCGGACGCCGAAGAGTTGCCAAAGAAGGTGAGAGAAGCTGAGGCCGAGACCGAGGCAGACGCTGATACTGAGCCAGACGCTGAGCCAGACGCTGAGCCAGGAGCGGAGCCGGAAGCAGAGCCGGAGGCAGAGGCAGACGCTGATGCTGAGACAGTGGCCGACGCGGAAGCAGAGGATGAGGCAGAAGCAGAAACGGATGCCGAGGCGGACTGGCTGGAGCTTGAGGACGCGGAGCTGGAGCTGGAGCTGGAGCTGGAGCTTGTCGAAGTGGTGGAAACGATGGCAGAAGAGGTGCTGGTGGAAGACACCAAGGACGAAGTCGAAGTCGAGATGCTGATGATGGAGGTCTTGGCAGGGATGGGGTTGCAACCGTACTTGATAGCATCAGCAATGGCCTCGTGGAACGACTGGCCGTTGATCTGGTTGATGGCGCCACGGGTAGCATCCCAGATAGAAACACCTCCAAAGTGCGGCTTGCTCTGGTACTTGCAGATCAAATCCTTGATGGTGGAAGGAGGAGCATAACCGTTCCATCCGGACTCGACGCTGGCGAGGACGCCAATGTAGAGCTTCGCATCCTTGCTCTTGGAGGTCTGAGAAATGACCGTCTCCCAGTCGTCGTAGTTGGGGGTGTCGGTGACTTGGCAGCCCGGGTTGTTGTAGAACTGGATGAAGAGGGAATCGAACTGGGCGTTGTAGATGAGCTCCTTGAGCTGGAACCAGGTGTCTGACGTCGGGCACTGAGGAGCGGCAGAAATGTGGTAGATTCCACAGCTGCGGAGCTTCTCAACCATCTTGATCCAGGGCTTTTGGTCGGCTATGGTTGAGGTCAATATCATCATCCATCATAAAAAGGGGTGCAGGCTTATCAACATACGATACTTGAACTCCAGGTCAAAGTCGAAACCGTCGACAGCAACGTGCTCGGTCTCGCTGATATCAAAAGGACGAGGTCCGTTCCAGCCCTGATCGTAAGGACCAAAAGTCTTGTGCAACAAATCACCGAACTCATGACCGTCCTGCTCACTGTCAATGTCGTAGCTGCAGGGGCCTCCGGTAGGGCAGTAGCCACCAATAGCCAGGAGAATCTTGATGCCCTTGGCTTGGCAGTACTGAATATCCTTCTTGACGTAGTCACAGTTCATGATCAACTTGGTGTCTTCGCCAGTCTTGGGGTTCTTGTGATAGACTTCGCCGCCGCAGTGGCCGGCGAAGTTGGTACCGGGGTATCCAGCGCTGTTCTTGGGGGAGTATGTGACGAAGGACAGAGAGACGGAGGTGACGCCGGGAGCGTCACAGTAGGTTGAGAGGCGGTCGGTAGGCTGGCCGTACTGTCCCCAGTACAGGTTGAGTCCAAGAAGTGGCGAGGCACTTGTGGTTGTCCGTGAGGAAGAATGAGCCAGGGCCGGGCTGATGGCCGCGGCGGCGGCAATGAATGACTTGCTGAAGAGCATGTTTGTAGTGGTAGAATTAGAGAATTAAGTGTTTTTGTACGTAATTCGCAACGATCGTAAGGTGGCCGAGGCCGTGGAAAGAGTGTAGATGTGATCTAGGATCAAAGAAAGGACGCAAACACGAACGTTCGCAAGATGGTGAACACACACCGTCTCTAGCTTCTCGACAGGAACAGAGATGGAGTGAGGAAATCAGGAAAGAGAGAAAAGGAGGATTACATGGGACGGGGGGGGAAGGCTCTCGTTCATAACTGAACCACTGCCGCTCTCCACGAAGCGGCGCGACGATGTAGTGACTAACTACATTAGGGGACGGTTGAAGAACATTGCCTAGAGGCAAATTGACTTGTGGGTGTAAGCCATGGCGAGGTGTGTTGTGGACCAATTTCCTCCCTCGTGAGGACTACTCAAGAGGTGCGAATAGGCGTTGACGCCCACGAGCGGCGCAGGCGGCAACGGCGACGATGTGGGATGCATGTATTAGCGGGTGGGTGTGTAGACAATGCGGACGACGGCGTTGTGGCGAGCGGAGTTGAAGAGGTGACGATGGAAGAGACGAGGTTCCAAAAGTGGGCGGCTGTGGGCACACACCGGAGGCACGACTTCCCCAATAGGCAAGCGTTTCTCCAGTGGGCGCCTTCTCGGGCGGCGGTCCGGCTCTCGCTGTCCGGCGCACGACAACGCCGGCCGGCTCCAATGGAGGCTGCTGAACGGACAGGAACAGGACTAGCGTCGACCAAGCGACGTGTGAATAGGGGTTGTCTCGCGTGTCTGATTCGCTGTGTCCCCTGAATTAGGTGGAACTACTGCCTGTCAGCGGCGCCAATGCAGACTTCAACCACGGTTGGACCTGCAACCCACAGCTCTGGGCCTTCGGGGCTTGGTTGCATCGACGACAGAAGCTGGCCGACGTTCCGGTCTTGAAGCCGTCTTTTTTACTAGTCATATTCTCAGCCCAGTTGGTGGAGAGATCATAAGAGAATATCCCGCTACGCTGGGTCTCAATGATGGAGATGCCGTGGTAGTCTTGCTGCCTGTTTGCTGTGAGCCCTTGATCACTCTGGTCTGGCACACTAATTACCTCGGAGAATTCAGTTGAGTTGAGGCCCAAGACAGCATCTATGCAGACATATCTGTGGATTTCCCCGAGAAAGGTGCGAGAGTTTGTGAAAATTCTTATTTGCAGGTGACAGGATTGGGCCGCGAGCGAGATCACTTACATGAGGTCACATACACGTGATGAAGGTGACATCTTTCTAGCCCCAGAAACACTGACTCCTATCCGTACCCACGTACGGAGTAAATTTAGGAGGAACAAGGCCATAAGTCCAGCTACACCTCAGCGAGACCAACATAGTTCGAGTTTCCCCATGGAATCACGTTTTATCCGTTGTGGTGGGTCGTGGGATGCGCCTTACCGACCGAACGGTGGAAGATAGGAAATTGGTGGCTGCAGAGAGGCGGCACGCCGTCCACACCGTCCACAATATTTTGGGACTTTGGTAAGCTACCAGCACCAAAGTCCTTTTCACACACCTCTCATCAAACGCGCTCTTTTCAATCTTGGTTAGCCAAGCCCCGAATACATCTGTCGATGACGTTCCTTGACACTGAAGGCACTTTCCTCGCTCTTTCTGTTCTAAGGGTCGGGTTGCTGGCACGTGTCTTGCCCTCGTGGTGGTTTGGGGGCCGTCGAGCATCTTTTGTTTCACGCGCCAAGAACATCAAGAGGACCAAGAACTCCATGACGGCGCCCATCAACGGGTGGCAGACGGGGACACGCCCCATCCCCATGTCATTGGGTCGGCCCTTTACAGTACTATGTAGAAGGCGGATGCGGATCCCTGCGAATAACCAAGATCTGGTTTACTCGGTACAGTTGAACCAAATTTTCAACATCCAATAAGGCGATTGGCATAGAAAGAGGCATTTCTCTATACTTCATTTCCTCCACAACATGCCCGTTCTAGGCGTGTGGGTGGCCTGGCAAGTGCCCTGCTGTGGTTTCGCACCTCTTATCCAACCCATTGCATTTAGAGCAATGGAGGCCATCAATCTTCTTGTTTCCGAAGTTAGATTAGGCTCTGGCCAAGATCTGGATGGTAAGTAGCATTAGCTGCTGTGAACATTAGATGAACATGGAAAACACAGGGTCGTTACATTATTGAAGTTGGCCTCGGTGTTGTCCGAAAAAGGCAAGAGGAAGACGGGAGGAAGAGACCAAAACGACCCACATTCCACCTACCCCGCCCGATCCTTTACCACCCGGATGTCCTCAACCCCTGTCGGCAGATCTCGCTTGCTCCGTCAACTTCATCTCATGAATATCATTGACCGTTGGAATGAAACTCGAGACCTACCACCAGAAGACGCCATGCTCAGCAGAGAATCATAAGATGTTGTGGCTTTAATGCAGTTGGTCCAACGTCAAGACCTCGTAAGGGACGGGAGCGCACAAGAACGTTGCCTTGGACAGGTCATCTGGGACGCAGACGCGAATCACGAGTCAAAGTTCGACTACAGTTTTTAATACTTCTTTTCAACTTGTTTCATTTTTTTGGCTTGAGCTGTGCCCTTTATGAGCCTTTTCTTATGCTATCGCGGGTTCTCCCGCTTTCATGTTGTTCTTTTCGATTCTTCAAGCGAAGAAATACCCAATGCAAGTCACATGCACAACCATCCGTCACTCCTTCCTTCGCTTACACATTTCGAACCTGGCACTTGAATTCAAGGGCTTCACAAATCACCCAAACACCACGCTTTCCAAAACAAACAACATAGGAAAATGAACCACCTCTCCTACTGTCTCACCTCCAAACCCTCTTACCCCCACGTCATCCCATCGTCCTCATCGTCGTGATCGGCCAGCCTCTCTTCCTCTGCGCCAAGCTGGCCAATATCCTTCCACCTCAGAGGGTTCTGCTCCCATCCCCACTCGATGTGGAAGTCCACACCGCGGGCCTCGAGAAACCAGGCTACAAGACACTCAATTGAGCAAGGCGCCGGCGTTGGGCAGTCGCTTGCCAAGGGTCCTGATGGCATAACCTCGCATCCGGAGAAGTCACGGAGCGCCGGTCGAGAGGGATTCGCTGCAAGGTCGACCATCTGTTGGAACCGATCGTACATGTACAGCCAATGGCCCATGGCCGCGGCGCTTCCGTACGCGATTTGATCGGTTGGTCCTATCCGAGTGATCAGGTCAGCTGTCATCCTACGCCGTAATTCGAACGCCTCGTGGAGATTCACTTACCAACGCCGACGCGTCCGCTCATACGGGCGCAGTAGAAGTAGTGTTCACCTCGCGGGTGTGGCAGAATGAGCGTGTTTGGACCCAGCTCCTCCAGCGTCTTGAACTGAGGTCTCGCCCACAACGACGTATCCGGCCGAATCCGCAGTACTGTATCGTGGGTATATCCGTTGGCGACACTCCAAGCCCACCACCGTTCCGCCGCCAGCGATACAGTTTTCAGCTGATTGTTCAATCTGCCCAGCCTCTTACCACACGGCGTCGCCATCATCGCCTCCTTGCCGCCGGGGTATTCTACCTCTATCTCGCTTACAGGCAGAACGTCAACCGACCGCAAGTGTGAGCCATAGCACTCCCGTAGGCTCGCTTCGATGGATTCCTTAGTTCGGTTGAACACATCTACGTCGGCGGGCTCGTAGAGCATGTAGGCGAAGACGTCGATTCTTGAAAAAGCTGGGTGGTCGGCGATGAGTTCCGACATGTGCGTCTTGCAGGTGACATGGTTGGTCCTGTACAACCCGGCAATGATGACAGCCAGGCTGCGCTCCTTTTCCCGCTCACTCGGTGGCACGTACAAATCGCATAGCCCGGGAATCGCGAGTCTCCCTGTATCCGACAGCTCAAGTTGACCAGAGCTTCTCTTCGTCATGGCGATTGTTTCCGACTCGTCGTCCTCGCTACGTCCCATGACGCCTCCGTTCGTCTTCTTACAGGCCGGTTCGAGGTCGCTATGCCAAACCGTCGTCCAAGTGTTCTTCAACATGGCGTTTAATACGATACGAACATGACCTTTTTTGTTCTCAAGAACGACTGTGCGCCCGCCCTTGTGCAAATCACCTGTCGCGGTCCACCACACGGCATGTGAGCTGCCGTCGTCATCAACCCTATCGAGAACCAGATCGCCATCATCCTGTAGAACGAGAGCATGACGACCGCTAGGGGATGTGAAAATGGGCGTTCCCGCAGACAACAGAACCCCATCAGCGTCGGGGGTCAAAACAGCTGTACGTGAGCCGGCCCCGTTATCGCCACGATCGCTCCCGGCCGGCGCCTTCGGTGTAGACTCTGGTATAGGTCGGTGTAAGCTAGGCACTGGTAGCCCGGAGCTGGCGACGTGCCAGTGTGGCTGCAGTACCAAGATCGCGGACAATAGGAAAATGAGCAAGGCGCCGACGAGCACTTTTGACCGGCGAGAGGAGCCATTCCTCAGTACTGCCCATCGAGATTGGTTTGCGATCATGGTGTGGTCGTGTGTCGGACCCATGGTCCTTTGGCTTCCGGTAAGTTTCCAATCTCTTCTGCTTTTCCCGCTTGCTCCTCGTGCTGATGTTGTGAGAGGGATGAGTTGACCAGAAGGGTAAAAAGGTATAAATCCAGGAACCCTTGAACGGCCCTTTCGGTATGAAAACAGGTGAAGGGAACCGCAGGAATTTGGGCGAACACCCCGCGCTATATCAGATGACGCTCGAACCGGCCGTTGAGCTCAGACCTCCTCTTTTTTTTTTTTTTTTTTTTGGCAGGGTGAGTAAACAACTCCTGCGATCTGTGGACACAAGTGGGTTGGGCGAGAACGAAAATAGACTTTGTATTTTGTTGCGACGACTCGTAAGCTGCCTTTTCTCGCCGGAGCTACCCAGGGGACGGTGGCCGGGGCGGCAAAGGGCGAGCACTTATTTTGGTCGTTGATGGAATCGCCCGCTGCGCAACTCTCTTTTCTCACAAGCCAATCCCGATACAGAAGAAGAGGCAAAAAGATTAGGCAAGGCCAGAAGCATAAGAATCGTGGAGAAAGAGGAAGCACAGAGACGGGACGAAGAGAGTTAAGAACCCTCGTCAAAGGTCAACGCAGAATTCTGAGACGAAGTCAGGGGGGGGGGGGGAGGTTCTGGCGTATGAATTGTACGGGAAAGTCTTGGCGGTCCGGACAGCCCAGCGATTGTTTGCCAGCAGAGCAGCAAACCCAGAGACCACAAAACTTTTGGAACTGAAATGATCTTCGAGGCTCGGCGTCCCAGCGTAGGGATGGCAGAACTAGGCGGTAAAGTAGGACATTTTACGTGGACGGCATGGGCGGAAGAAGGAAGGAAAAAGGTTGTTTGATTGTGCCCACTAATTGGGGGCGAACAGGGCCGCGCAGTTCGCGCAGCAAGGCATCCATCTTTGGGTTCGACACTATCGAGCAACTTGCCAATCATCCAGAGAGTTGAGGTGCTTGGGTCCTTGGGATAAGGCCAAGGAGATTTGATCGCCGCAAGTGAGAAAGCCAGGACGGCCGGAGGCTGCGGGTAAGATTTGGACCAGACAGCACAAGCCGGGCGGCGAGTTTGGGGATACACAAACACTTTTCGAGGTTGTCGAACATGACCTCGAGGCCTCACGAAAGTAACAATCGTACGGATGGATACACGTGTAATACTCGAGCCGGGCGAGAGCTTGGGAAATGGCGTGGCCAATCGGGCGGCTGCCTTTTGACCCTTGACGTGGACTCGAAAGAGGCGCAAGAGGGCGACGACGCAACTCTCAAGTCCCGCCGCCTCCAATCGCGCGCGACTTTTTTGCAGTCGTGTTCTCTAAGGTGAGAAGACGTACGCCCGTTGTCCTGGACCTCGCATCCAATCCCGAGAGCTTCCTTTTAGTGCCCTGTCTCTTTTTAGTGTCTGCTTTCCTTTTCCTCTTATCGGCCACAGCGCAAAGTGGGAGAGTTGCGGCTAGGCAGGTAGCCGCTGCTTACACCCAAGAAACACCCCAAGACGTACGAGGGACAAAGGCGGTTAGTCATGTTGCCCGACGTATTAGACAATCAGACGCCGCGAAATCGTTTACGCAAAAAAAAACAAAAAAACCCAGGAACAGTCTCTTTTCGCTTTCTCTTCCCTCTCTTCCTCTTGTCTATTTTTCTAAACTTTCCTGCTACGATACGGATTAGTGTACCTAGGGCCGCCTCGTAGAGATTGGCGAGACTTGGCAAAAGGCAGACGGGACTGCCAAGAAACCCTCTTTTTTGGCCCCGAGCGCCCTGACTACACAGTAGGAACGCCTATCGGGATCGGGACTAATGAAAGCTGAGGCTAGGTAGGTCGTAGGTCGACTAACTATCCGTAACGGGGGGTGATGGTGTCTGTGCCGGCGCCGAAGAGAGGTTTTTAGTGCAGAAGAATGTTTTTTTTTTCTTCTTTTTTTCTTTCTTCTTCTTGGGGGTAACGTGGGTATCTACTGTGTATGATTCGTGTCACAGTCCCTCGCTGGAATTGCTACAGTTGAAGATGCAGAAGAGAGATAGGAAGATAAGCTATAGATGCCGGACGTGAGTTGGTGAGGTAGGTACATAAAGGCAGATAGCTGTAAGAGAACTCTTGGGGGCCACAGGTAAGGGGCAATTGGGGCGATTTCGCAGAATTACCAGAAAATCAACCCTCGATCCCTGGACCTGGACTTGGACCTGGACCTGGACCTGGACCTGGACGCGGACGGAGTGGGAGGGACGGGAAGTGCGCACGTATCTCCCTCCCCTCCCTCTCTGTTGCAGTGTTGAGTGCCGTGAGTGCGACGCCAATGCAAGTCACAACTGCACCCTGCGGGCGGCGGGCCTGCGCACGACAGGCACGATAGTTCTGCGCCCGGCCGGTTCTGCCGCCTGACGTCGTGCAGCGGTGTGAAGCGAGCGTGCGCTCCCGTCGGCACCTCAGTCTTTGGTTGGTTGGTTGGTTGGTGCTTCTAACATGGCATAGCAGGGGAGGAAAAAGTCGTGGTTTTTGCACTGCCCTCGGGGTTCCTTTTTTCCTTCCTGCGCTGTCTATACCGAGGACGAAGTGTCGAACGTGCATGTATTTTGGTGCAAAGTTATCTAGGTAAGTCTGTGAGGTACCTTACCTATCTTACCTAAGGGAAGGCATCGTAAGGTAGGTAGGTATAAAGAAAGCATGGGGCTTGCTAGTCCACGACTTGGACGCCCCCAAGATGATACCTCGTAACTTTGAGAGAAACTTTGCAACTGGAAGAGAGACGAACGAAATTGAACGGAAAGATGACCTCGCAAGATGCAAAGAGTCGTCCTGTCCTTCTATAGCGTCAAAGCTATATCATTCCGATTCGAGGTCTGTCACATCTTGACGCTTCTCGCATTTACGCATAACGCATCATAGAATCTATAAAGGAGGACCCGAGTCCAGGCCACCGGGCCTCAACTTCTCAAGCGAGGCGCAATGATTGCTTTGCCCTGGGATTGAGAGGGGCCACCGGACGACCAGTGCCATCCGCCCCGTCGGTAGACGGTTACGGGCGGTAAGACCGGACCTGACGTCGTCGAAGTTCGCATAGGGCCGTGCGGCTCTCTTTTACGCTCTTCCTTACGATACCTCAGTCTTCAGTCACCCGTAGACCTTCCAGAAGTTCGTCTTCCTGTTCAAAGAGACGTAAACCGAGCTTGCGTCGTCGAGAGAATCCCATCACTTGGAAACATTGGCTGCAAAAAGATAAGAGCCAGGGTCTAATTAATTTTCACGGTCATGACGCGGCAGAGACGCGGCAGCGGCAGCAGCAGCGGCAGCTTAAGCGGGAACTAACGAGTATTGGTATCCAATAGTGTATTGATATTACGTTAGTGTATATTTGGAGATGGAAAGATTTGGTGAGTTTTCCAGGGAAAAGGGGGGCGCTTGCTTTGACAAGCGTAGTAAGCCACGATGACGACTGCTTCCGTGCTGAACACTCAGATTAAGAAGTCAACATGAATCCTTCATACTCCCCCCTCGATCGAAAACCCACAAAATCCTGTACAGGCTTGACCTTTACGACCCGTTCAGGCGTACGCCGGAGGCTCAGCAGCAGCCATCTGCCTCTTCCGCGCCGCGTTGATGGCTTTCAACTTGGCCGTGCCGAGACCAGCGACGCCGTTCTCCTGGTTGTCGCCCAGCCACGGCTTCTTGGAATCACCCAGCATGCTGCCCGCGAGGAAGTACGCGACCTGGCCGAGGATGATGAGCACAAAGGCGATGGGGTACATCCAGTGGATGGAGTAGCCAAAGACGTTGACACCGATAATGATGCCCCAAAAGTTGCCCGTCAGCAGCGAAATGTTGTAAAACGCGGCGCTAGCCATGCGCAGGAGCAACGGCACCAGGCTGTAGAACAGGCAGAGCGCAAACGTGTAGCCGAGGAGGTATCCGATGGCGGGGCCGTTCCAGGTGGCTTCGCGGAAGGACTCGCGGTCAAAGATGGCAGCCTGGACGCCGTTGATGCACATGCCCCACATGCCCATGAAGGAGAGAACCTCGTAGACGGGCCGGCGGCTGACGAACCACTCCTCTGCGACGTTGGTGACGCCGTACAGGGTCGCGCCGAGGAGGGCGAAGAGGTCGCCCTTGACCATGTCGATTCCGGGCCCGCCGTTGGAGCCGGTGATGTGGTCGCTGGCCAGGAGGACGCCGCAGCCGCCAATGGCGACGATGATGCCGACGATCTGGAAGACCTTGTAGCGGACGCGGAGGAGGAAGAAGGAGAGGATGATGACGACGACGATGGCCCAGAAGTTGAGGAGCTGGGCCGAGAGGATGTTGGTGTAGCGGTAGGCCAGGACGGTGAAGTAGTTGCCTTCGACATCGAGGAAGGAGAGGATGAAGTACTTCCAGCCGTCGCGGAGAACGATCTTGCCCCACTTCTTGAATCCGTACTTGTAGATGGTGACGGGGAAGTAGATGAGGAACAGCAAGATGTAGTTGAAGACGGTTTGGAAGGCCGGGATCGAGACTCCGTTGTTGGCGAGGAAGGAGGTGAAGGTGTTTGTCGAGGTGATACACAGAGCGAGGATCTGGCCGATGATGAGGACGATCCAGAAGTCGACAGTGGTGAAGTAGCTCCACCAGTGCACCTTACGGGCCTCGATGTCGTGCAGGCCTTGGCCTACGAGCTCGGACTCGTCGTGGCCGGCGGTGATTTGCGTCGTCGTCACCGGCGAGGTATTGAGGTTCTTGGTGGTGTCGTCGTCGGCGGCCATGGTGGGCAGCGGTTCGTAGGCGTGGCCGGGGTCGGCGTTGGTGTCTGCGGTCCTGGTGAAGGGTAGGCGCGGCAGCTGCAGCGGTAGCGACAGAATGGACTCGAAGCGGCGGGATGCGATGCTGGGCATACAGCGATCTGGGGTAAGGTTAGTCGTCTGCTGTCTTTGTCACACGTAGATGTGTGGAGATCATCTTGTTTGCCGGCTTCGTTCAACATACCTTGGTACGCACGCGAGTGTATTCAGACGGTATATCGTCTGCGCAAAACAGTCTGAACTCTCGGTCGAGTTCTGTTGTCGCGATGTGTGGTTATTGGTATAGATTTGTGGTAGTATTAACTGCTCTGGTCTTTCTCGTCCCCTGGCAGCAAGCGCAAAGACTCAAGTCGCTCGCTGTATTGTCTATCTTACGATAGCACGGCACATGGACGATGCGCCGGGAAGTGGTATGCGAAGAAGTTGGCCGAGGCGGCGCGCAACATATGATTGTCGTCGAGTGTGTTGGAGTGGTTTCCAGATGCCTCTTGGTCGGCAGCGCGTGATGAAGGCGATTTGGTACCGGCGCAAAACTTTGCTTCGAGCTGTCGCAAGAGAGGGAGGGGAAGAGAAGTGTATGAAGAATGCGACGAGGCGGCTGGCTACTGGATTTTTCTATCGCGGCAACATCCCAGTGGGTACCGAACCAACAGCAGAAAAGAAAGAAAAAAAAACCTTCAGCTGCACTATCGCCCTAGGGAAGGTGGTGGTGGTCGGGATGCAGCAGTGGGGAGCTATCGGAGTCGCCACGAGCCATGAGGGGGGGGGGGGGCCACGGGGGTGAGAAGACCCGCCAGTTTCCTTCTTCATGTGACGCTCCCGCTCGCCTGACTGGTCCGGTTCTCAACCACCGCTGCACCACCGCTGCACCGCAACCGGCCCAACATGGCGGGACCGGCCGATTTTCAACCATTTTCCTAACCGCCGGGCCACCGCCTTCCCTCCCAGTGGACGGCGCGCCGGCCAAGACGTCCCTTTTTGGGGGACCTGATCCCCGTCTGTCAGCGCACTTGCCCGGGGTCTGGGCTGCACATGGCCCGTGTTGGCGTGCTTTTGGGATGCGTTGGTGGGGTGCTGTAGTGGGCGGCAACCGCGGGCTCGGCGGCGGGGGTCCTTTTGAATCCTTCCGAAGCTCTGCAATCCTCCAGCTCTTGTCACTAGTGATTAACATCACGGGATGCTAAGCTATGAAGTGAATAATCATTACGGTGGAAAAAATTTTCATGGAATAGGCTTGGACAGTTGACTAAACTAGTGACGAGATACGACTGAGTATATCAACTACATCTTCGAACGACCTGTCGCACGGTTGAGTAGTCCACGCTGTGTTCCATGGACTCAAGAGCTTCTTCTTGAATAACGATATTTCCAACTTAATACTGAACAAGTTACACACCACGATCCATACACCGCGTACAGCACACCGCTGATGATTCCAATAATGGTAGGTACAAATCTACTCCAGTCAATTTCCCCCTTGTCCGCAGTCTTTACCACTCCAGCAAACGGATAAATGGAAAAGACATAGGTAGAATGGATGAGGGATGTCCAAAACCAGAACATCCAGCTTTGGTAGGGCTTGCATTTATGGTGCGTGTTTGCCCATTCGTCAGCTGTGAGCCCCAAGATGATGATTGCGTGGCCAGCCACTGAATAACTCGTGAGTATCCGATAGAATACGCCGGTATCGTAGCCTTGGAAGAGATAATCCAACGCATTTGACATTTTCCCCGCTGGTCCCGACTGTTATGGATCAGAAATCATGAAAGCATCAGTCGCAAACCAGAAAAGGAAAAATGTGTGAACCCAAATCACCATAAAGCTGAAGATGATCCAAGGCGACATCCACAATGTCTCGCTGTAGTAGTCTCTTGCAAAGATATTGCGACCATGGATTGATTGATTCCGAGTGTTTAAGGGACCAGCCTGGCCCGCTTCCACGTGGATCGGGATGCTGTCGTCTTGCCTTCGATTCATCAAGCTCCTCTCTGGGATCCTCTCTGGTATCGGTAGATTTGCCGGCTCAAAAGAACCTCCTTCAGACCGTCGAGAGCGGTGGTCTCCACTTGCAGTATTATCAAAGTCTGTGGCTTCGAGGCGGTCTCTTGGTGGATTTGCTTCGCCGGCCTTGTCAGATGAGATGAACGTTCCAATGACAGCAACAAGAGGAGCAGCTAGGAGTAGAATAGGCAGAATCTGGCCAAATTCCCATCTCGTTGGGTCTTTACCGGTCTTTTGTTGCTTTACGCTTTGCAACGTATAAAACACCTCGTCGTAGTATGCGGACATAAGTTTCGTGGTGCCCCAAAGAAGAATAGCCAATAACCAGCTCAACTGTCCAAGTAATCAGTGAAACTGCAGTATGAGACGATGAACGACTTACTTCACCGAGCATTGAGTTCAAAAGGTTGATATGTGCCGACACGAAGATTAGAATTCCGAGTACAGGCCTCACAACCAAACCTCGCCATGCTTCATACAAGGTTGTATGGAGGTGCCACTTTCCCGTAGTGTGTGCATCGGGGGGTGAAATCAAGCATGCTAACTTGAAGAAGCAGTAGACCGACCGTACAGTTTCTCATGGGCATAACCATTCTCCGACGAGTTGTGCTCGAAATGTGAGTCGACAGCTTTATTACCCTTGAAAAAAATCCGAAGAGAAGCATGACGGTTGAAATTATCATTTCTTGCATTGCAGATGATTTGCTCAACGAAGTGCAGTCCAATTCTTCAGTAGACAAGCTTGGGGAAATTTTACAGTCGTGCGGATTGAACATCTTATTGGGGGAGTTGGCGCAAGATTTGGTGCAATTCACACGACTTGCATCCAGGTAGTAGAGTTCTTTGCCACAGGCCAGGTTGTAGAAGCATGCCGCGGACGTTTTGGCTGAAGCTGCAGTCGGCTGAGGTATGGATAAGTCAGCCCGTGGCGATCTCCAGTTGAAGAATCCAGATGGAACCATGGCCACTATAAGAATAGCCAGCAAGACAAACATTAGAGTGATTCTCAGAGACTTCTCTCGTTGGTGTGTCTGAAAATATCTCCTCAGGGCCGTTAGGCCAGATAGATGCGTGACACAGGAGAACCATGCGAGGTAAGTGATGATCTTCCAGTGAAGAGCCGACAAGTTTTTGTCTAAGCAAATGAAGCCGCTGATGAGTATGCTTATGCCTGTGACTATTTGTACGTCGCACATGGCGACAACACCCTAGACACAGTATGTTAACAGGTGCTTTTGTCTTTGTTGAGTAATGGAATATGGGTCTCCATTACTGACCATGTTGAAACAACAATTGACACGGTTAGAGCTGGTCTTGCTAACAAGCGGAAGCGACGCTCCCAGAAAGACCAGAAGCTTTGCCGTCCTTGATCTGACCCAAGCTAAAAGCTTAACGTCGATGGGATTTGGCTCCCAGTGAATTGGATCCGTATGAGTGCCGGCATTCACAACGCGACTTTCTGATCGATTCACCATCGAGTGCTCATGGATCGCTGCTTGGCTTGGTCTCTCGTCATTCCGTGTCTGCTGGGGTGGAGGAAGCTGTGGCTCGTATGCTACGAAGTAGTGAACTACGAGGAGGGCAAAGACAAGATAGCCTGTCCCTACGAACCCAATCAGAACCTGGAATCTTATCAGCAAATTATACACACTTATGTTCTGGCCATCACGAGCTTGTGTGCTCATGTGCACGATGTGTGCAGAAACTCACCCTCAAGCCAGCTATATCACTGTTGGGCTCCCAGGCGTCAGCTGACTCGCAGTTGAATCTGGCTGGACAAGCAGATTGTGACATTATGAAAAGTGCCAATGGAGATCGTATTGACTATCCTGGAGCCGAGAATCTGGATCCTGTGGGGTCGAGTTCGACCTGCATAGGTGCTTGATGGAGCGTACCGGAATCGCAAACATCTGTGGGCGAGGCTCAGCCTTCTTATTCTTTTAGAATTGCCAAGTTAAGCGCGGAGTGCGAAATTTCGTAGAAATCTTGATCGTGATTCTGCAGGAGAGAGACACTGGCTCTCCCTTGCATCATGGTGCACCCAAGCCACAAGGACGCCAGCTTCGCAGTCCGTTTCACAAGTGAAATCACACATTTTCTGGCAGAATCATTGTATCATTTCGCATGAGATTACTCTGTACTACCGCAATGATCGTTATAGCAAACTGATTTAGATCAGGCTGGCCTATCACCATCAGCCCTTGCCATTCTGCATGTGAGCTACCGGCTCTCTGCATGCGCAACACCCATTCTGCTTGGAGCCAGATCGAGCGTAGCCGACAGGATAGATAATACAGACAGAAAATGAATTCCTTTTACGTAAGGCGATTTACCTCTACACCACAAAGTAGGACTTGGTAGAGTCCGAATAGACGGACCGCGCCCGCCGACGTCAAGATCGGCTCCGGCCTTCGGCCCCACTTATGGGGTGCTGCAGTGGGCGGCAACCGCGGGCTCGGCAGCGGGGGTCTTTTGAATCCTTCGGGAGCCCTACAACCTCCAGTTCTTGAGCAGATCACCATCACGGGTTTCCTAGCACCAATGGATGGAAACTCGCACTCGTTATTGACTATTCCGGCGGCTTACTTCACGTACATACCTAGCGCGGTGTTGCTAGGTGAAGGGAAGTGTTGATCACATCCCAATCTCATACATAGATTATCGTGTCCGTCTATAACAGACTCGCATTTCCATAAGACACTCTGCTTCTGAGGCTCCATCTACTACCAGATCGTACGATTACACCAAGTTTGTCCTCACCCGCTCCAATGTTCGATGCCTGAAGTGAACGAACCAGGTAATAGCATATAGTACATACAGTACCAACGCTAGTAAGATGACTGATGTGATCTTCCAGTACAAAGGGATCGCCTTCCAGTATGTAATCCAGGCGTATAAGCCTTGCACTGCAATTGCGAATAGCCAAAAGATACTAGGTCGCCAGTTGAAGCCAAGTGTCTTAGTAGGCTGCTTCGCCCAGTCATGAGCTGTTAATCCGAGTAAAATGGCAGCGTGTCCTGCGAACGCATAGCTCAAGATGACTAGATAGAACACGCCACCTTCGGTGAACATGTAATCTGTGGGGTTCCAGTACGGATATACCCAATCGGGCTCGGTATTATCCAGATACTAGTACAGAATCAAAAATATGTCCGTCGCATATCGGAAGAGAAAAAAGACGTGTACTCCAATTATGGAAAGGCTCGAGGCCAGGTAGGGCAGCATCCATTCCATATCGGAATAGTATTCACCAGAGACAGCGGAGGCTAAACCCATGCGACGTCTTTGGCTGACTCGAATCACGTTGACGTGATCGCCAAAGTCACCCGTTTCCTGCTGCCGCCTCTCCTGGCTAGCCTCTCGCACCAAAAGCGGTGACATTGCCACGGAAATCGGAGCTCTATCGATATGCTGGACTTGATCAATTTCAGGCGCGGGCTGTGAAACATGATCGGAAGTCAGTATCTGTTCCGTTCCATGAGTCTGGCAGTCGGTAGATGTTGACCCAGAGACAAAGGGACCGAGAAAAGTTATTAGAGGTGCCGCTAGAAGTAGTACTGGCAGTACTTGGCCAAATTGCCAGCGGTCACTCTGAGAAAGGTGTTCTTGTTGGGAAGAACGTTCCCATTCGTCGTAAGAGGCTATTCCCAATTTCGAAGTACCCCAGAGCAGGGTGACCCAGAGCCAAAATATCTAAGTAAGCGTCAATGTTAGTCAGTTTGTCGGATAGCACCTGAAGGATTCTGTTTACTTCTCCCAGCATGGAGTAGAACAAGTCGGCTTGCGTGCGAAACATTATGACCAAGGCCAAGATTGGCCGAATGATCATTCCATACCGCAGAGATCCCAAGTCGGAACTACCATTTGTTCTAGTACTTGTAGGTCTTCTGTTGTACAAGAAGACCTCAAGTCTCTGTAGCCGACAATGGGCGAATTTACTGAAAGGTGTACGAATATTCCGATGCAGCGTTTCGGACAGGCTTGTCGAGAGCTTGATTGATCTTGCGAGGAATCCGAAAATAATGAATGTCTGGGAGATCAACATTTCCACAAAAGCAGGTGTCCGGCTGATGGGTACATCGGGGTGCTGCCTGTCGTAGAGCCCTTTCCCACAACTGATAGAAAAAAAGCAAATGGCTGGTGTTTGAAGATCGGCGGCGCTGTCATAGTACTTTTTCTCGCCCTCTTCCCAGTTGAAGAAAGCTGTCGGTACCATAGCTACAATAAGCATAATCAAGAGGACGAACATCAACATCAACCGGGTGTATCTCGCCCACGATTCGCCCTGCAAGTGTCTCCTCAGGACCGTCAAGCCTGACAAGTGAGTAACGCAAGAAAACCAAGCCAAGTACACTATCATCTTCCAATACAAAGATGATAGAGAATCGTCTAGGGATATAAAACCGCTAGCAAGGATACTTATTCCTGTAAGTATTTGAGCGTCGCACATGTTTAATATTGACTAATGCAGGATTCGCTGTTAGTTAAGAAGCCTTTTCTGTCCCGGATAACGCCGATAGGCACCGAGCCTACCTTGTTGAAGCCGATTCTGACTTGTTCTGAGCGTGCTCGTCCCAAGGCGGGTAATACAATTCGGCATTTCTTGAGTACCTTCCTGGCTTGGAGCCTCAACCAAGCCAGCAACTTGACATCGATCGGATTTGGGCCCAATTAACTGGATCCACTGACGTGTTGACGGCAGGTTCTGCACTTGTTAGAACTCGTCGCACAGTTGATTGTATTTGACGTTCCACGCTATGTTTTTGTCGTGGCGGCGGGATTTCCGGATCGTATGCAACGAAGTAGTTGGCCAGGATGAGAGCAAAAACAATGTAAGCTGTCCCGACGAAGCCGATCAGAACCTTGAGAAACGACAATCGAGGTTAGTTGCTTATGGCTGTCGAAGTTCACCAAAAAAGGGAACACAATCCTCGCCGGGCATAAGACTTACCCCAAGACCTGCTACATCACTGTTCGATTTCCACTCATTCAACCCGTCGCAACTGACGTTGAAAGGACACCCAGCAATGTCCATTGTTTCGTCAGATGATTAAGTAGGGGGGTTTGCAGGGAAAGAGCCTTGTCAAAATGCCGAGACCTTCAGCAAAATCAAAGATTGTAGAGAATGGACCTAGTGGTAAGCTTATATGTTTGCCTCCCATGCGCTGGAATGTCCCTGCCTGACGGGAGCCACACCATCTTCGGCTCTGGATGGCCCCATGTACACTCAATGTGACGCCCGCTCCAAAGCGGTGCTGTTGGAACAGCAAAGGCTGATAAGGAGTAATAGGCAGGTACCATGGGCTGGCTGGCACCTGCCCTGGGCGAAGGGGGACAACTGGCTTAGTCATCACGGCCGGATAAAGGTGGGACAATCACCCAGGCCGTCACTACCTACTTCGACCGACTCCTGCCTACAATGTAAGATAGAAAAAACAAGAACAAGCAATAGGATCACCAACAGACGAGTGATAATTGCTACCACTATTTGTCGTATACGACCTCGTGGAACCAACAGGTGCCTTTTGCACCATTAAATGGGAATGCTGGGAGCATTGTCATCAATGATGTCGTGGAACCCAAAATGAGCCAACATCCTGATGCTGTTTTCAATCAGGCTGACCTATGAGATCGGGCCTGACGACTTGTGGGTGTCGAAATCAAATCCTGGAGGGGCCTTGGCTACCTGACAGTTGACGGTATTGCTCTGCCTGCATGTTGGGGGCGCAAAGCTTTCGACCAATCGACATTTTAAGATGAGAAGCCGTCGTTTCTGGCCACAAAACAGCTTTCCTTGACCGGTATGTCGTCCCCATAGCGGCGGGCGGCAACAGCGGCCGTTGGTTGACCCCGAAAGCGGCCCCACATCGGAACGGACGTGCGTGGGCGTAGTTTCGGTGCACCCGATGGATCACTTGAACAACTTCGACACTTCTACAACGGGTTTTGGGGATGCTATTATGCCTGAAGTCCAATTTTCGGAGTTCAGATGGCTTTCATCAGTGTCCTTCATCAACTACATCAACAGTAGACTGGATATTGCGTATTGTGGCACTTATTTCTGTAAAGATCGTTTTATTTCATCTCCATCTTCAAATATCGCGATGAGATTATGGAAGTCAGGTATTGCAGCCTTTATATAGATTCCTGGAGTCGACGAAAAATGATAGAAATGGAGGAGATAGTATACATGCCATATATCGCCAATGTGACAATGCAAATATCTCCCAGTTGCCAGCGGACGCCCTTGTGTGCTTCGGAATCAGAGGGAGAATAGAGCACCCGGATCGTGTATGTAGCATGAGTTCCAAGAGCCCAAACCCAGAAAAAGCAACGCATCCAGAGTCTACCACATCTTGTGATATGCTTTGATGTCAAATCATCCGTGATGAAGCCAAAGAGAATAGTCACATGGAACGAAAAAAGGTAGCTCAGGAGAATCTCGTAAAACATGTCTCCTGGCTCCGTGAAGAAATAGCTTAACGGCGCGACAACCTTCCCTTGTATGCCATATTTCTTAACGGACACCCATCGAACTTGTTTGTCAAGATTACGTTGGTAGAGTTGAAGAAGAAAGAAAAGATGGCACACCCCCAAAAGAGGTTGGGAATTAGCCATATAGTCTCGCTGTAGTAATCTCTAGTGGGGGCTGCGCTGAGCGAACTACTCTGGCCAGTGTCGAAAAGACCGAAGGCGTTGACTTTGTTGCTTTTGTGTGTGCGGACTGGGTCTCGTTGCTGTTGTTGCGCTTCCAGACACCCGCTCGTAAAGCCCATTGGACAGAAAGCCGGCTGAGAGGCACCCTGGTGATACTTGAGCGAGTACAATTGGTGGGTTTCATTGACGGTATATCAGCATAGCTCATCACATGAAACACACTCTATAGAGCCTTTCGGACACATCAGATTCGTACTTGCTCACGCAAGTGAAGAGCGCGTATCTAAGGAGGTATCCCTTCAACTGCTAGATGGCGTCACTACATCCGTCTCCAGTCTTTCTCTAACTTTGATCTGATTCGAGATTATTCATAGGCGGATATAAGGGAAATAGAGCAAAATTAAAGAAAGACTGGAGACAGATGTAGTGACGCCATCTAGCAGTTGATGGGATAAGCACCTGCCTGGGTCAAACACGGACAGAACTACTAGTATCTGTTCAACGCGCCTACCCATCTTAGAGTTCATTCACCTAGTTCTAACACAAGCCGAAAACGACGTCATCTCTCACACCGTTATTCTTGATTCAAACGAGTTCGAGACATAAATCCTTCATTGAGCAGACGAGAATAAGTGCTGGCGAGCTCACCAACAGACGATGTGGCAAGGCTTGATCACGAGTCCGATTGGACAAGCAAGGTCCTAGCACCACCGATTGATATGGGAAACCCAACGTCAGTAATGGCGTCACCAGCGAAGCTTTTGCCTGTGACATTGGCATCGCCTAACTTCATCCGATCCTGGACAGCCTTTCTGCATCATAAAAGTTTAGGATGCCTCCTCTCAAAGACATACTGTTGGAATATTGGCAGAAAAGGTGGATTTGGAAGGTGGTCTGGGCCGTAGCAAACGGCCCTTCCACCTACTTATACCCAACGGAGGAATCTTGGGCTCTGTCCACCAACTTCCTCCTTATACATACGCAGTTCAATACCAAGATTATTGAGCTTCGTACGGCCCTCAGGCCCCTGCTGACGTGTATACTAACACATACCTACACGGAACGAGCGAAAACGATGGCTGTGACGGTGGGCAGTTCCACGAGGAAGCAATGGTGTTGTTGATCTTGTATATTTGGTATATTCGATTAGAAAGTATGTTACCCTGTGTCTTTGCTAGACAGTTGCGCCAACAGCAACAAAACAGGCCATGATCATGAACTTTTTCTTCTTTCCCATTCCTCCGCCCATCCTCATTAAGTCTAGACGTGCCCATTGCTTTAAATCATCCTACACATCCAATCCCTGTGGCGTAGTTTCATCGACACAATATGTCCATACATGCTACCCCTTTTCAGGGGGTAAACCTCTCCCATAACCATCGTCAAGTGGCGACCCCTTACAGAGCAGCAACGATACCAGCAATGGCGGCAATAGCAAGGCCACCAACAGCGACGCCGCTCTGGGGAGCAGCGTTGCCGGTGGAAGAAGCAGTGGCGCTGGCGCCGGTGCCAGTGCCGGTGAAGGCAGTAGAGGCGGTGCGGGAGGCGGAGGGAGTAGCGCTGCTGACAGAGGCAGTGGTGTTACGGGCAGTGGCGTTACGGGCAGAGGTGACGATAGCGGAGGCGGAAGCAGAGGCAGAAGACAGGGCGGCGCTCGCGCTGGCGCTGACGGAAGCGAGAGCAGAGGAGACGGCACCGGAAACGGAGACGGAGACGGCGGCCGAGGAAGCAGCAGCGGAAGCGGAAGCGGAAGCCGCGGCGGAAGCCGCGGCGGAAGTGGCCGAGGCAGAGCCGGCGGTGGCAGCGTAGGCGGCGCAAGCGGCAGCGGCAGCGGACTGGGCCTTGGTGAGGTCGGCCGAGTTGCAGGCAGCGAGCAGGCAGGAGGCGGCGGCGGGGACGAGGGCCTCCTGCTTCTCCTTGGTGCACTGGCAGGCGGTGTCGGTCAGGGCGCAGCCGACCTTGGGGATGGCATCCGTAAGGCAGGGAATCTGAGGGGGAGGAATGTTAGTTTTGGGTCATAGGGGTGGAGGAGGACTGTGACGTACGGCGCACTGGGGCTGGCCAGAGAAGTCCTGGGCGACGACAAGGCCGGCGGCAACGAGGGCGAGTGTGAACTTCATTGTGAACGTTATGTGGTTGTTGTAAGTATTACACGGTATTAGGTTGATATATCGGGAGGATATAGGACGTTGGGATGAGTGGACGTGAAGTTGAACAAGACAGGAATCAAGGGGAAGTACTCAACGTCGACCCAAGGAGACGGGATGGGCCATAAATATGAGTCCAACGTGTGCCGCAAGCCACCACGTTCCTTCGGGCAAGAGAGCGACAAGAGCGAGCGAGTGAGAGGGACCCCTGGCCCTGACCTGAAGCTTTTCCCCTTCTGCCCTCTGCTCGCAAAAGGCTTATCCCAAATATCCGCACCGCGCAGCGGCGGGCGCGCGCGACGGCGGCGTCTCCAATATCCATTGGGGTGGACTCGTGGAGGGTGGAGGGTTACGTTAGCTCCGCTTGGGGAGGCGTTAGCTTTTCGCTTTTCTGCTGGGGCGACGCGACCTTGACTGAGCAAGGGGGTGTGAACCTTGGGGCCGTCGAACTACTGCGAAGAACTGGGACTTGGGAACCTGGACCTGGACCCATTCGACCTATAGCTAGACCCTAGGCTACTGACCAGGTTCTGGCCAGGAACATGCAACCATGATCTCTTTGGTCAATGGATGGCAAGTTGGCTCCGGGTGGAAAAGGGTTGGCAGGGGCAAGAAAGACGGGCGAATCAGTCATTCTTGAGCTGGGCGAGTGAACTGATTTGTGGCGCTGGTCATTGAGGTGACATCCAGTTGACCGTTCTGGCTCCAATGGAACGTCAGCGAATTGCTGTATCCCTTTTTCGAGCTCATTCGAGCAACGGGCTGGCGCACAACGAGCTGGATTCTTCCGCGAGGTTGTCCACAGTCTAGCAGCTATCTTGCTGTCTAGCTATCTATCTAGGTGGTCCACGCTGTCTCGCGGTCCGTCCGTCCGTCTAAACAACTCACGCTTCAGCTGTCTAGCTCGTGTCCTGACTCTTGATTGCCCGTCGATCTTGGCTTAGCGTCCAGCCTCAAGAAAAGTGTGGCAGCCGAAGAGATGGACGAAATACGGGCATATGTGCGTTTTGATTGGATGGCAGGTGGCTTGAGCCCAACCAAGAACGCGTTGAGCCGGCTGGCTGTGCTGAGACAACCATCGGATTGAATCGAATTGCCTCGACTTGCCCATGATCTGCCCTGTTGTGTCGGCACTTTTTATTCCCATCAGTCCTGCTTTGCCGCCGGTGCCCCCTCCAAGGTTTTGTTAGTCACTGAGTCTGCCGCTCTCACTGTTCTTAGCTGGTCGGCCGCCGGCAAGCTATCCGCACAGAGATGAGCTAAGTTGTCGAGGCTCGACAGACCTGACGCGTCGCCGTCTTGGTAGTAGCAAAAAGGACCCGAAAAGAGCGAGTTGATGGCCGGCCGGTTCTGTGACCTGAGTGCCGGGCTGGCATGACATCGTGCGAGGTGACATGCGGGACCAGCAGACCAGGGGCCAGGGGTCAGTAAGAATACTTGCCGCACGGGGAAACCCAATGACCAAAGAGACCAATGGCCGTTTTTGCCGTCCTGGTGACTGTGGTAAAGAGGGAAAAGAGAGAGTGAGCCCCACGGTAAACACCTGATTTGACCAATTTCATTAGAGTTTGTCACTGACAATATGTTCCTTGCAGCGAATAAACAATGAACTACTCTATTCTGCAGGTTGCCTAGGCGCCTTCTGGTAACTCTGTGGCCGAACAGACTGGGATACGCACTGTAGAGTTTCTGATTAATTTTACTGAGAAGGAAAGGGAAAAGGTTAGTTAGAAAGGCAAAGAAACATTGAACCTTCTAGACTTGCCTTATCAGCCGAGGGGTTTTCTTCCGTCACTCAAGCTCATCTCGGTTGGTTTATTCATCACAAGAAACATGGCGCTGGCGCTCCCGCGCTTCTCAGAGACACCCTGCCGCTCTCCACGCACAACGGCTTCGAAGTCGTTTCTTCTGACCGCCAACTTTGCCATGTGTTGCATACACGCAACCCAGTAGTAACCCCGTGGAGTAAACACGAACGATATTAATAACAGCAAGCCGAATGTTCGACGACTTGGAAGCTTCCCCGAGCTTCGGCTACCAAATAAACGTGGAGTTCGCTTCGGTACCAACGTTCGGACCTCCAACTCCAGTCGCTGGTCGACTCACAAAAGGTTGTTCCTTGGAAAATATTCCTTGCTCTGATATGCCGATCCCCGCTGGCAATAAACCCACCCGACACGAGCTCTGATCCCCGTCTTAGTGCCCATGTTTTTTGCCGTGCAACTCCCCGCAACGATTCTCTCGTGGGAATATCAACAACCGATGAGTCGTCTTTCTTTTTCCTCCGGCAACACTGTCTGGGCAATGCCCGACCTTCTCCACAATTCATATTCTTTGCTCACACGCGAAAGCTCGTCCCGTTGAAGGTCACATCTGGCCGCTGTGCTCATTTTCCGCCCGGCTGGTCATGTCTCGATGAAGCCATCGATCGTTAGTGCTCCGCAAGTTGGAGTTAGAAAGTCTCCGGTGGGTTTGAATAGGGTTCGGGTTTCCCGGGGTTCGAGTTTTGATATCTCGACTGCACGCGATAGTTATTTTGACAGTTTGGAGAGCCAAAGGTCGACCATGCTGATGATGAAGCAAGCGCTCAGTGGAGATCGAAAGCACCAAAGTCAACTGAGGAGAACTTATTTCGACATTGTCTTTATCTATCCTTACAGTCCAACGTATTTCCTCCTATCGATCCTGTCCAAATCAGGTGCCCAACTGAGGTCCTCCCTCAAGCTGCTTTGGGTGTCGCTGCTGCATTGCCAGGGGCGATGCGGTACCCTTCACTAACTGTCATGACGAGCCGGCCTTTGTTATTCATCTCCCACGGGTTCCAGTAGAATTTCAGATCCGGCTTCTTCTTCTCCACATTGTACACACGGCCAATAAGAAAGACGTCCGTTGGTATCTTGCCATGCTTGAAAGCGTAGTTTCGGGCCTGCATTCATGTTAGATTCTCTCTATCTCTGATGAACCTGGAAGTCAGTGGACAAAACTTACCAAGTTCATTTGGTTCTGGCTGAAGTGGAAGGGCTCTTCGAGTTCGCAGACTGTTCCCTTCACCTCGATGTGGTAAGTGATCGTATGCGAAAACCACGATTTGCGAACCACTCCAAGAGCCTCGAGCATTCTCCCCTCCATATCGGTGTAAGTGAAGTCTGCTGTGGTTGATTCGTCGCCAAGGAACAAGGGATGGCCCTTCTCTTCCCGAAGATGACTTGTCCAATTCTTCTCGGGCTTCCAGTCTAATAGATGCTGTTTGAAGTATTCGTTGACCTGAGGAAACTGTTAGGAGAATGCCACCATCATATTTGGCAATGTCAAACTCACGTGTATCTCGGCCTTGAGTCCAATCTCCTTGAAACGGCTAGACAAGTCTCGTTGAGCGGATGTGTAGATCCGAGGGCTGTGATCAGTCGCATACGCCTGAGAACGCAGTACCCCAAGACCTAACTCTGCATTTGGACCTCTCGCCACAGCGTTCACACCCGCCATCCCTCCAGTCTCGGCAGCAGCATGCTCTTCAGCCTCGTCGACGCGGAAGTCAAGATCCTCGATGGATTCTCGGATATTTGCTCCCTCTAATAAATCTCGCACGTCGCCAAAGCTGGCTCTCAGGACGAGCGAGACGAGCGAGACACGGCTGACGTCCTCGATGGCACACCGGCGAATGAAGAAGTCTACGAGCTCTCTGTCAAACCGCGGGCTGCTATTCTTGAAAGGGTCCTTCAAGACAACGATTTTGACAGAGTCGTTGCTTTCCGTGATGGAGACATGCCCAACTTCAGTTTCGCCGCGTATGTCGCCGATTGTCCTTTCCACGCTCAACCCTGAGGCGAGCGACACCTCGAACTGGGGCAACTTCACGTCTGTGTCGGTGCCGAGACTATGATGAATTAGCACGGTCCGTTCTAGTCCGGCATGTGCGAACTTACAGAGCGATATATCTCGCTCTTTTCCGGATGTCATTGGACCAGCCGCGATTGTACACGGGTGATCCTACGTTAACTGTCCGTTGTTGCACTGCTGCACTCAGAAGTTTGTTGTCAAGAGATAGCCACTTGATCAAGGGCATGAGCTTGTCAATATCCCCAATGTCGAAATTCAGGATGTCAACCTTTCCGACGAATGCTCGTCTCAATACGCTCCTGTCCCCAATGTACCAGTCCTTGTCGATGGATCTGTACACCACACTGGGGGCTTCACCTGAAGACTCGGCTGTTGAGGCCATCGGGAAGATTTTCAAATCTCGCATCTTACCTCGGAGGTCATCATTCAGTTTGACTGGACTCGGTTGGCCTTTTCCCCGGGATTCGCTTAAGGCAAGAATGGTTGTCTTCAACAAAGGGTGATCTCGTGAAGAATCCGGAATGTTGTCGACACGAACAAGCTCTTTGACAATTTCGGCGACACCCACATCCGAAACCCCCAGCCTGCGCCGGAAAAGCTCAGCACAAGCGGGATAGACGTTGGCGAGCGCCAGAGAGTTTGGGAGATAACTAGAGCCTTGCCAGATACAGGCATCCAAGGGCACCCAACCGCCTTGCGGATGGTACACGAAATCCATGACAGATCGGAGCTTGTCGCTGGTAGTGTGGCTGTCAGCTTTGTCGTTTCGGACTCGATAGATTATGTATTTACTTTGCATCCCCCTTCAACTTGTGGCAGTTTTTGGACAGGTACTCGTAAATCTGCCCCACGGCCCCCAGAGCTTCTGTGCCGATGTACGACAGGCGGATTGCTTTAAGCTCCTGCATGTAGGCCATGACACTGGCTTCGGTGGTCACCGAGAAGCTCGAGAAACATGACCACTTGGGGTTATCCGGATCGGGAAACTCTCCAAATTTGAGGTGAGGGCAAGAGTCGAGAAGGGATTTAGACGGCACTGCAGTGTCTTTCAGTTGCCGCCTTCGACCATCTCGACAAGAAATTTGCATTTCCCGGTCCTCGTTCCGTATGTAATAGAGATCTGACTGGCAGTCCTTCAGCAAGTGATCTCTGAGGAGTAACAAAAGTCCTTCAGGGTCATTGGCGATCAACCAATGGAATTCCCTGCTAAACGTCCTATCCTTGAGGTCCATATCAAAGAACGTTAATCTTGGGAGCACTGCTACTCCGCAGGAGGACTGTAGCCATTTGATGAAGGGATGTTTCTCTTTATTTGGCATCGAGATCTCGTCAGCCAACCCGGCTTCGAGCTGGAGATCCGCTGTTGCTATTGAATCTTCAAGAGTTGCGCTCTCCCTAATCGTTAGCAGGTAACTTGCCCGCTCAAAGTATGCCGGGTGCAATACTCTCATGGGAGCTGGTGAATTCCTAAGATGTTGGCTGAGAAGGTCAGGAGGCGCATCTGGGGCGACGTAATAGACATATCGGGCGCGGGTTGGACCTAGATTGTCATCAGCTTGAACCCAGATACTTTGGAGGTCCCTTGCGTCTCTCAAGCTGCTCAGTAAGTGACGATGGAGAAAGAGATATACCATCTCCTCTACCAGGCAATCTAGCGGGCGCGGGCCATCGCGCTTGTCCTTCGTGCGGTGGTCTTCCACAATCCGTTCGCAAATTTCTCTTTTGCTTAGCTTCTTGACTCCGAGCCCGTGAAAGAGGGCCTCTCTGCGATGATCATCACGAGCCTCAGGGTCCACAAAGACAAACCCTAGACCCTTAGGAGCACTCCAAGCCACGTCTCTCGAAGCCAAGAACAAGTTAGTCGTTGAGGCAGCCGCGAATGTTCCATTCATTGTAGGCAAAACTGCCAAGCTGCGCAACCTCCCTGAGCATTGTCCGGTAGCGACGAAAATGGCCGATACTTTGCCATGCCATTAAGGGGACTTGGAACCAAGATCAGGCTTTTCTTGAGAGACCCAATCGCAAAAGTCGGAAATGAATCTCTTCCGGTTCATGGTCTTTACCCCGAGACGACCAAGACCTAGAGGCAGGCAGTTCTGTGGTGTGTAGTCGGCAGCTAGATGACGAGCACGCTGTTTCGGGCAGTCGATTAGGGGCGCATCGTCGAGGCAGAACTCGGGTGGAATGAAGACCAAAGTGTCGGGGACCTGGAAACAGCCTGAACGACTTTCAAGAACTCGAAGAGACATGAGGTATTTGACTAGTTCGGCGTCGAGACTATCCCAGAAAGCGTCGCGAGACGGCGTCCTCTCCAAGTACTGGGGCCATGAGTACTGTAGAGAACCGCCGATCTTGTTGAATCTCTCGACTGCATTCCAATACGCCTTTACAATTACTTCTGCAAGTTTATTGTTCCACGCGTTTCCTTGGGGGAGGCGCTCTCTGTCTGCGAGTAAAATGAAGTCGCTCTGAATGAGGAACTGTGCCTTTGGTTAGTCGTTTCTGGTGGGGCTTTGAATGCGCAAGTCTTACCCGGAATCCGTAATTTCCAACTGGAAGATAGGTAAAAGTCTGCTGCTCATGAATGATAGCGCTGCCATCATCTTTGACAGGAAATGCCAAAGTCACTTCTGACTGGTGGATGCCCTCTCTCTTGGGTTCTGTTGGCATCTCATCTACTGTTCTCCGAACGATAATGTACTTCCTCTCTTTCTTTGACTCCGTGGAACTCTTCCTTATGGCGACAGATCTCAGTTCCCCTTGGAATTCCTCGTCGTGACTTGTGTACGTAGCTTGGTATTCAGCTTCCTCTGTTCCCACCTGGACAGCGAAATGCCTCAGTCGGCGGAGAAAGAGCAAGACTTCTGGTTTGATCTTGCGCAGATCTTTGGCGATTCTCCCGTGAGCATGTCTGTCGCTGATACGTAATCTCATTCTTGTTGTTTCCGTGTCATGCTGTTTGTTGATGACTGGGGAAGGCAAGGGTAGCAATACGCCCAACATGTCCTCAGTCTTGTTGAGCTTGAAGTGGTAAAAGCCGCTCGAGATATGGACAACGCTTGCAACCTTGAAAACTGACTTGAAGCCTATGCCCTTCTCTCCTATATATCCCGAGTGGACCTCTTTTGCTGACTTCTTCGTGCTCTTTCCAATGCTGCAGAGGGCGACGATCTGCTCTAGAGAAAAGCCATTCTCGTTGCATCCGGTCTCTAAGTCGTAGGATTTCTTCCCGTCGGCATCAAAAGCAAGGCCTTGAGACTCATTGAGAAGCTTGGGCGTAAGTTCTGTTTGGTGACCGCGGAGTAGTCGTTATCGTCGGCATTTTGAAGGAGCTCCAAGATGAAATGGGCTGGTTTGCTGTACAGCTGGTCGGCAAGAATCTTCAATGCTTCCCTCAATTATCCACCCACGGAATCTTCTATTTGCCCACTAGAAGCGCCTCGCTTTCGGAGGAGCTTTCGCCTCTTTTCGAGACTGTGGAGGTGTTGGCGGCGCCATGCAGGGTGCGGAGGTGATGACTTGCCGCACCATTGTTTGATGGGCTTGTCGAGGAAGTCTTGGAGAGGCCCAGTGGACTTGTGTATGATGATTAAAAATCCCGATGGAAGTTTAATTGAGTGATAGAGGGAGTGGGGAAGTTTGGGGCTAGATGAAGGCAGTGATGAGGCGAGGTGAAGGTACGTGTATGAGAAGACGAGTGTGAGAAGGTGAGCGTGAGGAAAGGTGAGGAGGGCTGGGAAGTTCTGGTGGTAAGCAACTTTCTAACGCGCCGTGTGTCTCTCATAAAATTTGCGCAGCCTGCGAAAGGCCAAGGGAAGGCGCGAGGTCGTGGTTTTAGTAGCCGTTGAGGAAGGGACCACCCTGACTCTTGCTGCCTGATGTATACCTACCTCATGGAGAGGATGGCTTCTATTCCTTTTAGTGCCTCTACCATAGATTAGTGCTCGATAAACTATACAGCTTCATATTAAGATGGCTCGCGTGCGGTAAGTTGTTTATTATAGGCTCCGAGTTACGGGTCGGGCTCGAAGTAGACCCGACTTTTAGCATCCTATCACAATCCCAATCTCTGAGATTATGTTGAACTCATAGAACGAGTAAAACATATCCAGCATCTGTCGCATGTATTCGTACTGGTATGTCTCGCCTGTGATGCGGAACATGCCTACACGTCTTCACGAAAGGCACAATAGGTGGGTGTAGTCTGTATATTACAGTAGACTACATGAGTTTTGTCTACCACCCCAATCCCTTAGCCTCAATGGCTCCGTCATCACCACGTCTCACATCCCCGGCCGTTCATTCAACATCTCATCATGGATAACATCCGCAGCCGCTCCATCCTCATCCACGATGTTTCCGAGATGCTCCGCCAATTCCTGGAAAGTCGGAGCGAGAGCATCGACTCCTCTGAGGACTCCTTCGTAGACTTGGACGAAGGGTCGTGTCTCGGCAACACGACGGGCTGCATCACTAGCAGCGGAAGTGAGAGCGGAGGCGACATTGTCGAGGCTCGCCTCATTCCGACCAATGCCCTCCTCCTCGCCAGGGGTTCCATGACCCGGTGCCTCTTCGCCGGGAGGAGCAACGACGCCATCGTCATCAATGTCGGATCCGTCATCATCCTCCGGATCGTTTACCGGCACGTCGTCATGACCGACGTTGACGTTAGGTTGATGACGACGGCGCCCATCATATAATACACCATCCTCTTGCAATACAGCCCCATCGTTATAACGGGCTCGGCGGAGTAAGCCGACCCAACATCCCGTCCACTCGCCACCATCCTCTGCGAACTGGCAGAATATCGTGATGTCCCCAGCGTCTTCGAAGTAGAAAGTGGGCCTGACGTTGCTGACGGTCTGAATGCGGCAAAACGGGATGCCATGATAGATGTCCCGCGGCCGCGGATTCGCTTCCAGGGCATTGATGACCCATTGGCGGGGCTGTTGGTTGACATATGTGCCATCGTTGTCGAGATGGAATGATGAGACGTAGTACATCAGGCCATCGTAATGAATCGCCTCCACGAGCTCCTCAGTCTCGTCGTCCTTGAGAGTACTGCGGACGCGAGTGAGAACGGTCTTCTGGTCCCAATTGATTCTCTTCATCGTAGCTTTCCAACCCATCGGGAGGAAGTCGCGGCAAGTGATCTGATCGCCCCTCGCATGGCTGTGCGCCTGTGACAATACAGTGTAGACATCTTCCATATCCCATTTCTTTCCATAGGCGTCGTGTTCCATGCTATATTTGGTGGCCCGTAGAATGAAGTCGTGTACGGGGGACGGTGGCTGAGGCTCGTTTGCTTTTTCCATCGCGGCATCGATAAGCCACTTGTTAAACTGAGCTCGTTCACGGCGGTAATCCTGGAAGATTATATCCAGAGGCTCGGATATGAACCGGCAGTCGGTTTCTTGCTCACGACTAGGGAGCCAATTCTTGCATTGCTCACAGGCCTTTCGAGCGGCACCTCCGTTCGGCAACCACCCTCGGGCCCAGCGTCGACCTGAGAGATAAGTGTCGAGTAAGTTCTTTGTGTCTGCTTCCTTCACTCTACAGAGGAAGCGGCGGTAATTCGTGACTCTGTGGATTTCCTCCCTGATGTTGAGGAAGTCCTTCCACATTGCGACTTCTTCTTCGACGTTTGCAATATATGGTGCGCGGCAAGCATGAGCGCGAAAGCCCAATAGTCTCAGAGGCTCACGCAGCACAGGAGCCACGCTCGCAGGGTCGGTATCTCCGAGGAAGTCGAGGACTTCCCAAAGTCGCTCAAGGCGCTCCTCAACACTGGGAAGGTTATGGGCGTCCATTTAATTGTACTTTAGTCGAAGAGACGGAATAGAAGATTGAGGGATTTGAAGAGAAGTGGATTATGATTGACTTGTTGGAGTTGTTGGCTTGAGAAAGAATGGACTTCTAACGAAGGGCCTAGGGCCTTTATATATATTTTTTCCGTGAGTTCCCAAGATCCCAATATGAGTCTATGTATCGGAGATGGGTCCGGTTTTACCTTTGGCTGGCACTATAGTTTAGCCAACCCGGTGCAGGATATAGTTGGACTGTGATGGATTTCCGAGCCGTGTCTCAAGTGACCGTATACGACACACACAATTCGCAAGAGTTTCGCACACAGAATGTACTTCATTATGTACTGATTCGCTATGAAAATGCCTTGCATAGCACTTCTGCTCCCTCGTTGTGAAGGTCGTAGTCTTCCCGATCTTGCTCACACCGGACAGTACAGACTCCCATCAAGGTAGCGGCAGCGACGTGCATGATATCTCCGATAAGGGATTTCCACCAAAGTGAAGAATAAGAATCAGGTGGACCCGCGAGACTTCTGTAGTTTCTTGGTACTTGTCAACGTTGTTGTTGCTGTTCATTATGACCTCAAACTCTAAAGCATAAGGACTCTCCAAGCCTGACACCCGCCCTTTAGTTTCGGAAAGCCTGCACGAGCTCATGTAGTTTGTCAATGACAACCGGAGCAATGGCTCCGAGTGTGTCTTCAATGATCCTCTCGAAGAACAGCATTGACTCCTCCTCTGTGAGTTCCAGGTGAAATCGCTCACGAACCTTTAGGACCGCCTTGTCGGGCTCGAGTCGAATGTCAGGAATGTTCGCGTCCACCATGAGGCTGAACAAGTTGAGTATGAGGTTGGAGGATTTACGTAAAGCAGTGTATGCCAGGAAGCAGTACTGCTTGAACTGTTTGAAATGCTCTGAGTTGACACCGCCCATACAGTCTACCATTTCCTTGGAGAGTTTCATGACTGGTGCAAATGGCTTTGGGTCTCGTCCGAGGATGAATCCAAAGTCAGCGTGGAAGAAATGACCATCCGGAGCGAGAAGAAGGTTATCCAAATGCCGATCGCCGACACCTAGAATATAGGTAATCACGCAGTATCCTGCACAAGACTTGATATAGGTGTCCAGAGTTTCTTGACGTAACCCTAGGGGTTGTCGGTCGTCTGGGTTATTGGATTTCAAGTAGGTCAGTGCCGGATTGTTCCTGAATTTCGAAGCAATGCTTTGGAAGCTGACGGATGGAACAAATTGAGATGCGCCTGCCGTGGTGCTGGTGGCCAGGATTTTGTAGGGAGATAGTTTCAAATCCAAGTTCTCTTTCTGCAGGAGTTGGTCCATGAGAGTAATGATTTGAATGACCAACTGGTCCTGGCGCAGGTCGTCACCAGTCTTGAAGATGATGGGATACTTCTTGCCGGTGCTGGTTTTGAAGGTGACCTTGATTGGGCAAAGAGATGATTTGAAGACCGTTGTCTCGTCAGGAACCACTCCGACAACTAGCATGGTAGGGTCGAGCGGCAAAGGCAATGGCGGGTCGATTGTCAAAATTTCATTCTTTGGATCTGCTAAGAAGTGTTTGACGCGGTCAGTCTTTTTGGCGATAGATTCGTGTGACGTTTTGACCTCTCCAGAGATCTTGGATAAGATGGCAATCAACTCGGCCTGTCTCAGGAGTGTCTTTCTCGATTCGACCCCATCCGGTTGCTTCACCAGTTCAGTCATGAAGTCGTAAGCCACTTTTCGGTAGATGTTGCGGTTATCTAACCCCTGCTCAGGGCTATGATCGTCGCATTCGACCATCAGGTACCAATGGAAGTAGTTGCCAAGAAGGAAGTTACCGGCTGCTCGGGATATCAAGAACTGAGCCAGAGACGAATCATGAATGGCCTCCTGGGAGGAGTCGGCCTGGATGTGCTCGTACTTCAAGGCTTGCACCAACTGCAGCAGATAAAGGAGCAGCTCATGATCATCCGCCTTACGTAGCCTTTCCACAGCATATGCCCGAACAGCTTGGTTGTCGAAGGTGGGGCCAAGCAACTCTAGGGCGTCGTCGACGTCGATTTCGGTCCAGCGTCCCAAGACTTGCACCGCCTGCTTGGCTTCGCTTTGGTCTTGCCAGTTGACTGATTTAACAAACTTGGTGACAGCCCGTTTGTCGCGAGTGAGATGATAGCGGAACTTCCAGATTAAATCCTTCTCCTCCGGGGTCAACGTGTGGGTTGGCGAATACGACATGATCAGGTTCAGCTCATCCCGGACCTTCGCATTTGGTTTAAGATCCTTGTCAAGAACCCCATGGCGATGCTGACTTCTGACGAGCCTCCTGTGCTTGCTTTCGGCTGGGTTGTCACGAGCACCGACCTCAGGATCATACACCTTCATCAATCGACTCCCAGCTGAATCGTCAAGCGCGTCGATACCGGGACCAAACTGCACTTCAGGAGGTGGCTTCAGCATTACGTTAGACTGAGAAGCAGACACATGCTGAAGCGCCGAAATCGGCGGGGGGTCGTACTCCAGGTCGGCGAAAACAACTGGAAAGTCAAATCGCGGCAACTCAACGTTAAGTTGAAACTTGGAAAACCCTGGATGGGACTCGGTGTCCACAGTGCCTTTGTCGTCTGAAACTCCCTTCTTTTCGGCTGACGCATCTCCATTTGTCGTCCTCTGGCGTTGCATAGTCTTGAGTGATGCTTTTGCCGACTGTAGTCCGCGCTTCTCAAAGCCACGGAAGACAAGCTGATCAAGCCAGTCGACTCTGGGTATCTCGCCCATTTCGTGCTTCTTGAACAGCTTCTCCATGCGCTCCAGCTCTTCAGCATCCTTATCTACGGTTGGAGCCGCTCCTTTCCTCGAGCTGTCCCGTTTTTTGCGCGGAACCGCAGGCGTAGCGGTATTGTCATTCCCATCAGCGTTCTTGTGTCGGTGGACCATGCATTTCTGCCGGCCCTTCTGCACCTGGTTGTCTCGGTCGAATAGTGGAAGTGTTGTGCCGCCGAAGGGGATCGCATGGCCTCTCGCCTGTTTTCCTCCAGCTGGTGAAGAGTCCCATAATGTGATGGCTAAGCAGGAGTTTAGAGGGAGGGTTTTGTAGTTGATCGGTAGTGTGAGCCATTCGTTCCATCTATGCGCACTCTGCGTCAGAGGGCTTTCTCTAGGACCAAGAACCAGACCTATGGGAATTCTTACCTCCTCTCATTGCGAAACGATTTGTATGCCGTCTGAATAGGCACGGTCAACGGCTTCGAGCCAGCCCATACCTGGACGGTGACGTAGAGATCGGAGTGCGAACTAGCAAGTCAGCGATAGCGGTCAGCAGCTACGCAGAGGGTGTCACCTTGTGTTAGAACCGATGTGTCTCAGCTCGGCCTTTTCCAATAAAGTAGAATGCAGAAATGGTGTTTCGTCGCCCTCTAGATTAATGCTATCATGGCAGCGTCAGTCTCGCGTATTATCCGGGTTGGGAACGACGCAGTGGATGGGCGCATACATGCGAATGCTGACTGGGTAGTCTAGAGACTCGGAGCTGGCAAATGAAAATGGCTCCATTGTGAGGATAGGAGCTCATTCGAGGAGGTTATGAGTCCATTATGCAATGAAGCTGGCAAGTTGCAGAATGTCGTTCAGCGAATGCGACAGACAGCGGTTGCATGTGTTTGAGTAGCGCAGGTTGAGGTCACTGACTGCCCCAGACTGCATAGCCACCGGTAGGCGGCAGCTGACTGTGGGAAGCTCCAGTGGAGCGCATTAGTACACCCCAGCATGGGCGGGCAAGCTGTGGACCTCTATCGTCTGCCCGCCCCGCTTCAGCCACATGTCAGTGTGCTTATCTCTTATCGATAGTCGCACTCAGCCACATTCACCCCACGCATTCACAGGTACCTACGATAACGATTGTTGGACCTTGCTGAGCGCGTTGAGTGGAAGGGTCGCCTGGGAAGTGCCTGTCGCGTCTTCCATGCTCAGTCGCAATTTCACGCGCGATATCCTGCACAACCACCCGAAATCGTCATCGAACCCCGGGCAGAAGGCGTGCTCTTTTGTTCTACGCCAGGTTCGACCTCATAACACGTCAAAATCCCCGACGACCATAATATCGAGCACACAGCAACTTGCCACCTACCAGCCCCATCGACATCGAGAATGCCGGCGAGAGTAGGAGGCTCGTCCTCCCCCGAGTCGAGCGAAGATGATGCGCCCCGTCCTGCGCGCGGCCATCTCGCCGCGAGAGACAAAGGCAAAGGTCGCGATGTCTCCATTGGCAAGCGGAAACGTACAGACACAGAAAATGGCGGTCATGCTTCCCGTCGCCGAGCTACGCGCTCCATTGAGAGAGAAGAGGAATACGATTCAGATATCTACGACCCAGACCAACCGATGGAGGAGCGTCGAGAGATCCAACGAAAGCTACGAGATCTTCAGAAGGGCATCACCGAAAATATGGAGGAGTACATGCTGCCAGGCTCAACGGGTCTAAAGGATACCTTGATGATGGCTCAGCGGGTCGCGAAAGGCGTGAAACAAACGACGGAAGCGACCATCGACTCTCGCCTGCTTGTCAGTGCTGTCGATATGTCGTACCGCAAAACCGTAAGGTTGATGCAGGGAAGCTCCACTGAGGGTGTCGATGTGGATGAGTTCGTCTCCAAGTGCTGCACCTACATGCGGCAAGCCGGTGGAATCGCAGACGACGAGGCGCCAGAGCTATCGGGTACACAAAGACGGAGACGCCGCACGAACGGCAACTCCCGCGATGACGAGGATGAAGGAAACGATGAGGCGTTCAACTGGAGCCATCTCGGACGCTTCGCATCATTACCAAATGTTCGTCGGCCAGCCCTGCCCGGTTTTCTTCTTGGTCCCTTGTCCGTGGAGAAGAAAGTCCGCAAGATATCGAAGCGCACCGCCCCTTTCAGACCCAACAACCTTGAAGAGACAAGACCTGAGGTGTTGAATGTTGAGGACCTTGCCAAGAAGGAGAATGATCTGACCGCTATCTGCG